ATATATATATATTAGAGGGAGGAAGGGAGAGAGGGAAAGAGAGAGGGAAGGAGAGAGAAACATCAATGTAAGGGAGACACATCGATTGGTTGCCTCCTAGGTATGCGCTGACCAGGGGATTGAACCTGCAACCCAGGTATATGCCCCAACTGGGAATTGAACCCGCAACCTTCCTGCACGAGACGATGCTCTAACCAACTGAGCCACCCAGCCAGGGCACCTTTTGTGAGCATTTTGACTCACTGAATTGCTGTGGGTAAACTGACCAGAGATACCAAAAACAGGTTAGTTCTACCAGGTTACCATAGAAGGAGGGGCTGAGTCAGTGTAGGTAGACACTGGCTCTGTCCGGCGTCTTCATGGTTCTTGTCTATTCCTTGTCCTCTTGCACCAACAGCTTGTCCTGTCACCTTTTTTTTATCTGTCACCTTTTAAGTCAGAAGCACTGTATGTGCTGGCAGGTGAAATCCAAACCAGGTAACTTAGTACTTTGGTGGAAGTGTTTGACAGTACTAGCTATGGTAAAAAGTCCTACTGAGATTTGTAGGGAGACAAATGGTTGAACAAAAATCTCACCTCAACCCCTGAGTTCTTTAAGTTTCTCTTTCCAGACCTCAGTCCTTTTCTCCCTCAGAATAGTATAAAGGTCTACTTCTAGAAAAAGAAATCCTAATAAAGTTCTCTCCTTTTTGATGGCTCTTTCTTCTCCTCAGTTCTCCCTCTTCACTGCTGTCCACAAACACTATAGCCTGGAGCAGTGGAAAGAGTTTGCCAGCCAGAATCCTGACTGTCTTGAGGTAATACTGGCCCTCCCGTGATCCCTTCCTTATCCCATTTTCCCACAAATTTTTTCTTGGCTTCCTGGGGATCAACTCTTAGACTGCTCATCAGGTTTTTCCAAACATGCCACAGCTGTCTAATGCCTCCCATGCCAATGCCCCTGCTTCTCCCACAGCATCTGGCTGCCAGCTCAGGCACAGGCTCTTCTGACTTTGAGCAGCTAGAACAGATCCTGGAAGGTATTCCCCAGGTGAAATATATATGCCTGGACGTGGCAAATGGCTACTCTGAACACTTCGTTGAATTTGTAAAGGATGTACGGAAACGCTTCCCTGGACACACCATCATGGTATGTTTCTATTACCCTGTAGATGGTACATTCCTCTCCTTCTTTTCCTTTTGTGCCACTCCTTTTTGTTACATCAGTTCATTTCTCCTCTGCTGCATTTTGATTTTCCTGGTCTGCTTAATCATGTCACTAGGTGATTATCCAAGGTTCCCTGCTTAAAATGTTTATTGGTCATTGCAATCTCTGACTCTTGATACATTGTCTTTGTAAATCCAGTGTTCCTGACATTACTCACCAAATCCTGATGTGCTTATGCACTGTACATACCTTTGATATAGATCTGCCTGCCTACTGAAATGAACATACTACAATCCTATTAAAGGGATCACATGTAACGTATTTTTTTTACAAGCTTCGGGGAATGACTACAAGACCTCATTTTCTTCACAGCATTGAGGGAGCTCTCTTTTCTGTTCATCAGCATATACACAAAACAAAACAACAAAACAAAAGCAGCAAATACAGCTATGT